ATTCTAGTGTAATCTATCTGATGTTACTCTGTTTTCTGTGCAGAGCTTCTCCGCAATTTCTGTATGTTGTTTAAATGCACAAGCCCTTTCAATTCTAATGAATTCTGATTAGTTGTCAGTGTTTTATCAGTTTTTTTATAAGGTGATCCCAATGACATTGTTCCTCTATAATCATTATCATTATAGTTGTGGTGTGAACTTCACTATTCTTTTAAATTTAGAACGAATTTTAGAACTCTATCTTATAATTATCGTTCTTGGTGTGAACGGGCCTTTACACATCGCTATGCTACTGACAGCAGACAATGGACCTTTTTTGCCCACTAAACAGGTGTGATTCTAAACTCTGAATTTTTCTTTGTATTTATTTTATTGATTTTGAAATGTTGTGAAACCAAGGTTCGAAACGGTTTGAAACTGTATTTTAACTGTATGCTGAAATCCCGTGACTTGCCCTGATAGCACACGTACATCACAGAGACGTCTATTTGACGTCTGCATTTACATCTGCAAGACATGTTTTTTAGAGTGTTTGCTCATCTGCAATACACCTATAGGACGTTTAGAAAATGTCTTTAAGATGTTTATGATTTAGAGTGTATGTAAAACTGGCATATTAAAGACGTCAATCAGATGTTTATACACAGCAGATGCTTTCCAGATGAAGAGATCTTTAACAGACATCTTGCAGACGTATGTGTGCTCTCTGGGTGGCGAATCTGAAACAAGCTCCGAAACCAAAAATGTGTGAATGTCTTGAACCTTCTGAAGCAGGGTTTCGGACAATAACTACTTAACGGATTTTATTCTCAATATTTAGTAATAGCCTCAGATTTCAGCATTAATCTTGTATATTTTCACTCGCTATCACAAGCAGGTGTGATTGTTCGTTACCTTGGCAACCTTATGAAAAGTAGGCCTACTTGTGCACATAAGAGGCAGCAAGATCTCAAAAAAAAAAAAAAAAGCTTGCCATGTACAGTCTATATGTCTTTCATGTGACTATGCTGTACGTTATTTATGGCTGTTTGTTAGGATACTGATACAGGAACTACTGTTGTCAAGTGAGTTTCATTCATAATGTTTCCCCCTGTAAACTAGTATAAAATTTCACAGAGTATAACCCAGTATTAATGTGTACCGTGGCAAACCTAAATGACACCACAGTTTAATGAATTGTAAAAACAGATGAATTGTCGTCTTTTGTGACCTGATGGGAGGCTCTGGTGATGGTGATCACAGTCAGGCTAACAGGAAGTGTGCTCTGTCTGTTGTATTTGAGGAGGGATGTCCGAGCTGCAGCGATGGCTTCATTACTGTCGACGGGCAGCAGCAGAGGACAGACCGGACACATCAAGCGTAACTTCTCTGGAGGGTCTTGGGGAAGGAAACGAGAGAGAGCACTTCTTTAAGTGAGTAAGATAAAAGAAAAATCTGAAATTGCATTGGATAAAATAGCAGTGAAGCATTGCAGTAGTTTAATTAGTTTAGTTTATTTAACAAAAGCAAGACATCAAAACTTGTTTGTCAATAAATTCAAAGGCTTATTTCCATTGTGGTCATTGCCATTAAACAGAATTAGTACTTGCTGTTAAGCAGTACATAAAATTAATTCTGAGACATACCTGCATTTTACTAATATAGTCCTTTTTCTAATATAATTAGATTATGATAAGCATCTTAAAAGTATATTTCAACCAAAAAAAATGTAATTTTACTGTTTCACTTGGAAATATTATTAGACAAGTCTCCACTTGAGGCTGAACCAACGAACCGATAAAATCTATAATAAAAGACAATGAAAATAATGGGCAATGAATCTGATGATAGATTAATCGCGTCTGCGCACTTGAGTCATGTCATGTCACTTTCCAGAAGTAAATTACGCATTCCTATGGACAAAATGCATCTGAAATATAGCCAAAGACACAAACTGCGAATCTTTTATATTAAGCTCTTCAAACAAAAGCATAGTTTAACATGTCCTGACCTGGCATGTGCTTTGATGCATGCGTGTGCTGTTTACTGGATTTGAGATGCGGGAAATGCGAATTTATTTTTAATTAATGTTATTAATCATA